CGGCATGTGCTGAAACCCCCTGTGCTCTGTTGCCCCTTGCCAGGAAGCGAGAGACCCAGACGTTCTGCTTGTCTCCCAGACTCAGCCTGCAGCTCTACTACATCCCTGTGCTGACTCCTGAGGTGAGGGGCAGGGGCTGTCAGGAGCAGGGGTCTGGGTTAGGGGCTGGCTGGGCAGGACACACTGCAGCCTGCCGCCCCGGCTCCAGGAACTAGGGTCACCTTCCTCGGGATGCGGGGCTGGGAGACACCCTAGAACAGTGATGGCGAACCTTTTGAGCTCGGCGTGTCAGCATTTTGAAAAACCCTAACTTAACTCTGGTGCCGTGTCACATATAGAAATTTTTTGATATTTGCAACCATAGTAAAACAAAGACTTATATTTTTGATATTTATTTTATATATTTAAATGCCATTTAACAAAGAAAAATCAACCAAAAAAATGAGTTCGCGTGTCACCTGTGACACGCGTGTCATAGGTTCGCCATCACTGCCCTAGAGGTCTTCTTCCCAGAAGCCACGGACACGGCTCTGGGGCTGAGTGTGGCCAGAGGGACGTTCCCTCACAGTGGCAGGCAACCTGCCCAACGCCGGTTTTCATTTTGCTTTTCTAATGGAATTAATGGCAAGCTTCTCCTCAAACAGGGGCACACATGCACGCATGCACATGTACACACATGCACGCACACACACACACACACACACACACACACACCGCTTCCTGGGAACCTCGGGCAGCGGAAGCCATTGGTCTGCTGGGGGAGAGGAAGCTCCACTCGAGGGTTCTCATTCCTGTTGCCCACTCTGCTGCTTATGGGAAGATTAAGTTCAATGCAACACCCACCTCCTCCTTTTAAGGCTGATGGTCATTTCGCAACGTCCCTGGCAAGTGGCCCTCAGAGAGCTATTCCCGCTTCATCCGAGATAGAACAGCACAGTCTGTGGTGCAGAAACGTCCCCAAGAGGTTAAGCGATTGGACCACATTCCCAAAGCTGGTTTGCCCAGGCCTGGTACCTGGGGACCCTGCAGCCAGGAAGAGTGGGCTGATGGTCCGCCTCCTCCCTTTGTCCTCAGAAGCGCGCATCATCCCGGCACTTGGAGCTCGGAGAGCTGGCGGCCTTCCTGGGCCGGGCAGACCCCTGGTACGAGAGCACCGTCAACACCCTGTGCCCGGCCATCCAGAAGCTGGCGGAGATGGTAGGGGCCGTGAGGGCAACAGGGTGGAGGGAGTTGGGAGGGGGCCATTTCCAATATGACTCTTGACCCTTGACCTAAAGAGTCAGTCCAGGGGACCCCCCAGGGGATCCATGGTTGGAGGAGGCAGGAGAGCAATACAGGAGTGAACCCTAACCAGCGAGTGGAGCGAACCCTAACCACAGTCCTTATCCACGGGTTCTGCATCTGCCGATTCAACCAACCCAGGATGGAAAACACTCAGGAAGAACAGGTTACACTGTTGCTCATGTGTACTCGGCCCACAGTTGCCTCTGTACTAAACACATACGGACTCTTTTTTCTTGTCATTGTTCCCTAGATAATACAGTATGACAGCAGTGTACATAGCATTCACATTGTATTAGGTGTTAAAAGTAATCTAGAGTTGACTTAAAGTACCCGGGAGGTTGTGGGTAGGTGACTTTATATAGGGGATGTATGAGCATCCGCAGATGCTGATACCCACAGGGGTCCCGGAAGCAATCCCCGTGGTTACTGACTGTACTTTGGACAAAACCACAGGGGAAAAGATGAAGGAAAGCATCCTTGCGTGAGTGTGTAGGCCAATGACACTCCTTCTCTTGTGAGTTTCCTGCGATGCTTTGTCTGTGGTTATAATAGCAAATGCTTCCAGGGTCTGTCCATGTGCCAGGCACTGCTCTGAGCACTTAATGCAGGGCATCCCTACCAAGTAGATACTCCTGTTGGCGGGTGCTGTTGTCTCCACATCCCCATGTTACAGCTCAAGCAGCGGAGGCACAAAGAGATTAGGTAACCTGCCCAAAGTGACCGAATGAATGGTAGAGTCCCACATAGAATCAAGAGCACATTCTCTTACACCGTGCCACCCCCACCCCTGGCGGCCGATAATGGGAAGAAGCTAGTCTCTTGCTGACTTGAAAAGGCCTTGACATATTAAGAGAATCTTATCCTTTTTGCGATCATATGTGTTGCAGACATTTATTCCACTTTATTATTTGCCTATCAATTATGTCAACAGAGCTTTTGAAAAAGGCCTTGACATATTAAGAGAATCTTATCCTTTTTACAATCATATGTGTTGCAGACATTTTATTCCACTTTATTATTTGCCTATCAATTACGTCAACAGAGCTTTTGGTCTTCAAAAGTTTAATACATTTGTGTAGACATACATAGCACTTTTATGTGTTGAAAGGACTTCTCTACTGATTAAATTGTACCCAAGATTAAATACATTTTCACTGATAATTTACCCTAATACTTTTAGCATCTCCACTTTTACATTTAAATGACCTATCTGCCATTAATTTCAATGTTTAGTGTGGAGTACGTAATTTTATTTTTTCCAAATGGTTAGCCAGTTTTCCTAAGCTATTAATTGCATAAACCATCTTGCGCCATCCATCTGAAATGCCACTTTCATCATTTACTAAATTCTAACATATGCTTGAGTTTATTTCTGGATACCTGTTCTTTCTCATTGGTCTATTCAGTTCTGTACCAATTAGCACTTTGATATTTTAATAGCTGTCAGGGTAAGCTTATCCCCTTACTTCCCTTTTTCAAAACTTTTCAGAATGTGCTTATTTAGGTTTGTTTCCAGAACACTTTCAGAATTTTTTCATTTTTCTAAAAATTTTATTGATTTTTTTTTAAAGGGAGAGGGACACAGAGAGAGAAATATTGATGTGAGAGCAAAACATCACTCGGTTGCCTCCTGCATGCTCCCTTTCAGGGATCAACCTGGGCATGTGCCCTGACTGGGAACCCAACCTGCAACCTTTCAGTGCACAGGGTCGACAACCAACCAACGGAGCCACACTGGCTGGGGCTTTGTTTTATATTTAATTCCCTTGGGATTTTGATTGGAATTTGGAGGAGAATTAGCATCTTTAGCATATTAAGTCACCGTCTCTGAGACCGAAGTATAACTCTATTTATTAAGGTCTTCATGTATATCCCTCATGGTAGTTGTACAGTTCTCAGCATATAGATTTGACCCATTTCTTGCTTAATTTATCCTCATGTTTAATAGTTTTTTCTTGCAATTGTGGATGGTATCTTTCTCCCATTGTTTTTGGATGGTGTTACTGCTAGTATAAAAGGGACTTATTGATTTTTACGTATTTATTTTCAAACTTGCCACTTTACTGAGATCTCCATTTTGCTTTAGTGCCTGATTGATTGGGGTGCCTTCTTATATCTTTTATTTGAATAAAGATGTGGGGGGGGCATGTTTTCTTTTTTTAAATATATTTTATTGATTTTTTACAGAGAGGAAGGGAGAGGGATAGAGAGCTAGAAACATCGATGAGAGAGAAACATCGATCAGCTGCCTCCTGCACATTCCCTACTGGGTATGTGCCCGCAACCAAGGTACATGCCCTTGACTAGAATTGAACCTGGGACCCTTGAGTCCGCAGGCCAACGCTCTATCCACTGAGCCAAAGCAGCTAGGGCAGCATGTTTTCTGAATTATTGCTTATCTAAAAATGTCTGCATATACATGAAAGACTATTTAGCTAGGTATTAAAATACCTTTTCCTCAAAACTATGCGCCTTTATTGGTAGTTTTTTCCCCCTGCCAGGACACATATAAGATTTTGGTTTTCTCCTGCTCTCCGTCTCCTTATAATTAACAATCTGTATGACCCTTACACTTACTCCAAAAGCAGTTTCCACACGAGGAGACTGGAAACAGTGTGCGTGATGCAGCATGACTAGAATAAGTTCCTAGTTCTTCAGCATGACCTTTTTGAAGGGAACAGTATTCAGTAGATCAGATATGAGAATCAGAGGAAATCTCATAGGGTCATACACAGATGGGTTAGATAAACTCTGAGCTTCTTTCCAACACTGATACTATCAGATTCTATGTAGACATTCTGCTCTATTTACCTAAAATACCAAATTATTATGCTTTAGAATTATATGGGGCTTGCGGGGGGGGGGGCTGTAGGACATTGCACTAGTCCCTTCCCAATAATATGTAAAAAATAGTTTATTAATATATTCAGATGCCACCAGAACTGAAGTGCACTAGTCCCTTCCCAATAATATGTAAAAAATAGTTAGTTTATTAATATATTCAGATGCCACCAGAACTGAAAGAAACATCACCTTCTGGTTCAACTTCTCATGCCCAAGGTTAGTGATGTGAGAGCAAACCTAGAACCCAGTCCAGACTCTTACGTGATTAGTTATATCCTCAAGCATCTTGTCTACCCCAAGCACCCAGCACAATGCTTTGCACATCGAGGTACCAAGTATGTCTTGGTGCAATTACAATGAACCCGAGTCCCTGGGGAAATAGGGTTCTGCACAGGCATATTTTGACTAGAGTGGAAGTTGGGTCGTAGGAAAGGCTTGGACTGTGCTGAAGGGCTAGCTGGGTTAGTACATCACAGAGGATAGGTGGGGGTTATGGGGTTTCTCTATTAAGAAAGTAGCACCTCCCACTGTAGCATGGAGGGAGGTCGTTGAAAACATTCTCTGTCTCCCTCACAGCCTCCCTCCCTGGACACATCCCAGACTGTAGACCCCTTCATCCTGGATGTCATCACCTACTATGTCCGCATGGGCACCCAACCCATCTATTTCCAGCTCTACACAGTCAAGGTAAGCTTTCCACCTGGGGCAGCCTGCTGGGCCCCAGGACCCCACCCCTGAGTACCTGGCTCTGGGGAAACACAGGTTACCAGGGTGAACGTCATAAACCCACCCGGAGACCCCGGGCTGTGAATGTTATCTTCTTCCTGGGTTTCTTCCTGGATTTCTGTGAGCGCCTGCAGGCTAGTTTCCAATGGCCACCTCTGCCTCTAGCTCCTTGTGGAAGTCCTTCTAGCTTACGGGATTCTTGTTTTCACTCTGCTTCCCGGGGGAGATCTCTTCTTCATTGCCTCCTTGATTTTGACCTAAATAAAGGATTCAGGACTTTTCCTTGGTTTTCAAACTGCAAACCGAAACAACACAAAAGAGACAAATGGGGGGAAAAACTCTCAGAGGTCCCTGGTACAGGGCGTGAACATCGCAGCTGCCACTGCCCTCAGCCAAAGGCCCCCCAGGAGCACACCTAACGCTGGACAGAGAGGGGTTTCCCGACTTTCTGAGTGAGGGGGCCACACACCTGGAGAACCACGAGGCATCTCAGGAGGAGACTGTTAGAACTCACAGCGTCTGGCCTCCTGCCCGGTGACTTTGGAGAGGGCTCCGAAACATGTGACTTGGCTCTGGATCGCACGCTGTCAGGAATGATTCTACGACTGGGCATCTCAGTGGCTTGAACTGCTATTCTTTGGCGCAAAGAAACAGCAGCCGCTCACTGTTTGCTGGGAGGGGAGGGGCGGGCTGTGGCCTGCACAGTCTTCCCATCTTTCCTGTGTTCAGACGTGACAGTGGCGGGTCGGCTTTCTGTCTTGGCCCATCACAGTCACGGAGTGGCCTTGCCTTACAGTGTCGGCGTCTGTGAAATTGTTTATGGTCAACAGAACACGGAGACCGCGCCCTGAGTGCCAGGCCAGCTCCTGGCTGCTGGCGGACACGTTTTTCCTCTCTCCATCCTGTTCTTTTGAGGATCCTGTGGCTACTCTTCCCTGTTGTTCCAACATCCTCCCTCCTGCCGCTCCCCTCTGCTCTGTCCCTCTTCCCTCAGGAGCCACGCCCACCCCCAAATTTCCTTGGGGTCTCCCTAGCCCTGGGCTCCCACAGCCCGGGCTTCTCTGTGCACATGGAGGACTGCCGGGTCCTCCGTTCTGGCCCTCACCCTTTCATCCTCCCCTACCAGGGTCTACAAGAGACTATTACCCTCCCTCATGTGAACGGTGTCCCCTGCTCCTGCCATCCACATTAGTGCTGGTTCCAGTAGTTTGGGTTTCAATCATACTTTCCTCCACTGTTGATAAATCTATGATTTGCTGGCATATGATATACGTGTAGGTGATGGACAGAGTCAGATCCGGGTCATCACTGGATGCCACTCAGAACCCCGCACTGGCAGGAGGGGCAGGGGGACTCTGACAGCTTCTGTACACTCTCCCAGCACCCACATCCTCGGGGTCTGGGGCTGCAGGGGGAGCTGCCTCTGGCAGGGAGCCAGCCTTCTCCACCTCTGCCCCCCTCACCCCCCAACCCCGTCTCTCCAGATCTTCTTCGGTGACCTGAGCCAGGACTCCGTGGAGGACATTTTCCTCACTGAGCTGAAGGTGAAGGTCCAAGACTCCAAACTCCCCAAAGGTGAGCATCTGCTCCCGTTTCCAAAGCTCGTCCTGACTCAGCCTCCCCAAGCCCCACTGCCCCACCTGTCTTGGCTGAATACTGAGGTGACCTGGGGTCCCTCCAAGCTCACCCGGATGAAAGGGCAGCCTGGCCCCCCTGAGGCTCAGGGCGGTGGGGAAGCTGGGCTGGGGGAGGACCTCCCACCTTCAGCCTCTTCTCCTCTTCCCTCAGATGCTTTCTCCCCCAGGAGGAGAGGCGCGGCTGAGGCCCCTGGGGCTGAGCTCTCCCTGTGCTACCGGAAGGTCAGTGCTGGGTGTGGTCGGGAGGTGGCCCCGATGGAAGCAGGTGTCAGGAGCACATGGAGGGAAAACAGAGCCAGAGGAGCCTTCTGCCCTTTTCCGGCCCCTCCCCCTGGTGTCCGAGCCTTCAGAGAGTTTTGTAGGAATGTGAGGGCTACCAGTCCCCTGAGGCTCAGGGCGGTGGGGAAGCTGGGCTGGGGGAGGACCTCCCACCTTCAGCCTCTTCTCTTCCCTCAGATGCTTTCTCCCCCAGGAGGAGAGGCGCGGCTGAGGCCCCTGGGGCTGAGCTCTCCCTGTGCTACCGGAAGGTCAGTGCTGGGTGTGGTCGGGAGGTGCCCCCGATGGAAGCAGGTGTCAGGAGCACAGGGAGGGAAAACAGAGCCAGAGGAGACTTCAGAGAGTTTTGTAGGAATGTGAGGGCTACCAGCGGCCTCCCATGTAGACAGGAGGGGACCTGATTTCAGGAACAAGGGGCTGTCCCCTTCCTCATTGGAGACGGAGTCCTCTGGGTCTAGAAGGCTGCACATGCCCCTGGGCTGAGAGTGCTCCAGGCCCTTTCCGGGTCCCCTTACTGAGCAGTGATGACTCAGGTAAAACTCGAGGCAGGGGCTGGGAGTGAGACTGCTGATGTGAGGATGTGAGGGCCGCCATCTATACCTGACCTCCCTCCCCAGGCCCTGCTCAGCCACCGGACCCGAGAGGTTACCGTTTCCCTGAGGGCCACCGGGCTGGTCCTGAAGGCCCTTCCAGCCAGTGACACTGAAGGTAAGGAGCGGGGGACGCAGAGCGAGAGAGGGCGAAGGGACAGAGGGCGGAGGATAGAGGGGCCAGTGACAGGAGGGGAGGTGACCCGGGAGGCCTCCCCTCGCCCCCAGCCCTGGGGTCATTGAACAGGTTGAGCTCCTACTCAGGCTGCCCAGCCCTGAGCGGCCGGCTGCGCTCTAGCACTGGGTTGCTCCTCTGAGGCCTGATGAAGGCGGAGCTCCTCCTCTGCACCCGGGCTGCAGGGCTAGAGTTTTATTTGGGAATTTTTATTTGACTGCTGTTCCATTGGGCAGGGACCCTCCAGGTCACACGGGGCACTACCAATCCAAAGTATCTACTAACTAATTATAGAATGACAGAGATCTATTGATACAAAGATCGTTAATTATCTAAATCTAAAATTGAGATCCTAGAAGACACCAGCTTATGTGCATATAATTATATGCATAGATTATAGATGGGAGCTGTTCCTGTGAGCGCCCTGGCCTCTGGAATAATGAAAGGTTGGTGATGTGGATTCCTAACCACCATGCACATTGCTCAGAGGCCATGTTATATTCTACGTCAAACATATCCTTTCCCGTAAGCATATCAACCCGATGACATAGGAATTATTCCTATTAGCCACTTTTTACGGGAGAGGAAACTGAAGAAAATGAAATAACTTGCCCAAGGTCACACCTCACACAAGAGCCAGTATTCCTCACCTCTGCTCCTCACTCTTCCTCTGCAACCTCCAAACCTCAGCGGGCCAGACGCACAGGCTGTGAGCCACAGATGCTTGTAGAAGATTGTTCCAGAGCAAACAGTTTACCAGGCAGAACTGTATCTTGCTCACTGCCTAGCACACGTCCTGGCACATAGTAGGTACTCAGTAAACATTTAGTGAATAAAGGAAGTGCTACTTTACGCCCAAAACTTTATTTTAAAATGAATGAATGAGCCCTAGCTGGTTTGGCTCAGCGAATAGAGCATCCGCCTGCGGACTAAGGGGTCCTGGGTTCAATTCCAATCAAGGGCACATGCCTGGGTTTCGGGCTCAATCCCCAATAGGGTGTGTGCAGGAGGCAGCCGATCAATGATTCTCTCTTGATGTTTCTATCTCTCTCTTCCTCTCTGAAATCAATAAAATATATTTTAAAAAAAAAAGAATGAATGGATCTGGAATGTTCCAGAAGAAACACAGACTGAAAGTACACATTAGCTAGCCCAGAAGCCTCTGAGGAGTATGCCTCGGCTCCCCCCCCTCCTCTCCTGTCCGACGATGAGCGCGGCTTTGCTAGCTCTCCAGTTAACGACATCTGTACAGCATTTGCATTTATTTAAGGGCATCATCGCTCCTAAATTGTCTTGGCATCTGTCACAAAGAGGACACTCAAGAAATAATCTGTTGATTTGATCACTTCCTGATAAAATGGCTTCCAGGCGGGTTGAATTTGTGGATGACATGAAACCCTGTCACAGCCAGACATTCTCGATGTATCAGAGCTACCCGGCCAGGGCACGTGACATCCTCTGCTTGTAGGTCTTTAATGCCCACCGTGAAGGGGACGTGTGACTTTGGCAATAGCTCTAACGGAGAGCTGAGGTAGGTTGGGTGGAGAGCACAGATTCTAGGACCAGAAGGGCAGGCTTCAAGCCAGCTTTGTCCCTTACCGCCGTGTGACCTGGGCAAGTTACTGGTGACCTCTCTCCCCGTCTTTTCCCTTCTAAAATGGAGATAAGATACTAATTTATTACATGTAGTAAGTGACAATCTTAACTTCTTGTTAACCTTGTATTTCTTCTCAAGACTCGCACTGCCCACCCCACTCTAACTTGTGCTTCTCCAAGTCTTCCATCACAAAACCCTGTCAGAACTGAGGCCAGACCCGCCTCAGGCATAGACATCTAAGAACCCTCCTTAGCAGGGAGCCGGGGGAGCCGGGGAGCAGTCACACGATGGTTTGGACACATTAGACACCATTCCGAAGCCCAGGGAAGGCCCTCAGCCCGTCGGGAGTGCTGCGCTCCTCCCCCTCCGTGGTGCTTTGTTGCACACACATCCTGGGCCAGGTTCCTTCCTAGGAGCTGCGAGGAAGCTCAACAGAACCTTCTCCCATTGAAAAAGGGGTGCGAGGGGATGAAGAAAGGGGTCTGGGTTGGCTGCTATGCCTGAGGATGCGGAAACTTGTGGATTCACCAGGGGAGGGAAATAGATAATATACTCAGGAAGGAACAGAAACGTGGCTAGGACCCAGGTGGAGTCAGGAAGGGGCTAAGCAGAATGTGGGAGAAGGTTAATGTGGGGAGGGGGAGTCTTCTTAGGACCTAGGATCTCAAACTGTCCTACTTCCCTGAAGGCCCATTCATAGCTGCCCCCCATCTCATTCCTTCCCATTTCAAATCCCACCCACTCCCCCCAAAAATGTGTCTCCCCTTACAGACCACACGTGCCTGAGTGTTAACGTGACGGAAGTTGTCAAGTCGTCCAACCTGGCAGGAAGGTCCTTCTCTGTGAGTACTGGGTAGAATGGGAACTGGGGATGTTCAAATAGGGCAGGTGGCTTGGAGCCCAGGCGGATGGGCGTTCAGAGGAAGGACTTGTGAGCCTTTCTGCGCCTTTGCTATGGAAATGGGTCTTCCTATCAGAAAGAATCTGCTTTCCAATCAGTCGGTTTGAAATATTGAGCATGAACTGGCATAAATAAGGCATCATAAGAGTGAAGGCCTTGTCCCCCACCTGCTGGCTCTCGGAAGACCTAAGACGTATGGCGGTAACTACAAAATACACATTCTGGCATCCCCTGTACTGCACAGCCGCCAGACTCCTAAACACTATAGCCCGACCTTTGACCAAACCAAACCAGCTCTTTCAACCTCATTGCCCTTGGCCCTTATTCATACTTATTGATGTGGATTCCCTATTGATACAGACTCACCCACCTTCTCCCTGCCTGATGGCCTCTCCCAGCTTCTCCTCCCTACTTAGCTGGGCCTTGGATCCCATGATTACCCTGAACCATGTTCTTAGACACCCGCAACTACCAGGCACATCCTCACTTTGGATCCAGCCTCCTCCTCAGTTTGTACGCTCATGTGGCTGAGTGTTTCTGGACTAAATCCTTACATCCACATAGACTAGGGCCACAGCACACTCATGACCTTCCACCTCACTGGAGCCTTGGCATCATTTAACCCATTTCTCTTCCATCTCCTCTGGGCACGTCTCCATCTGTTTACCCCAGTGTTGACACCGCCTCCCCGCTCCCTGCTCTCTACTGCTCCTTCCTCTTAGCCTATAAACATGCTCCCGTCTTTTCTATCCTAGAAAGAGAAATCCCCTGTGGCCTAGTCTATAGGGCGGTGGTAGAAGGGGGCCGGGGCCAGGAGACAGGCTGAGGAGTGAAAGGACCCACAGGGGTTTGTTCCCTTCTCCCCCGACAGCAGCGGCCATCATTTATGCCAGCTCCTTCTTGAAAAATTATCATCAATAAACAACCAACACGAATACAGTGCTTGTCATGTCCCAGGAGCTTAACATATGCTGTCTTTTCATCTCCACACCTACAAAGTGGCTGCTATTATTACCACATTTTTCCTAAATAGGTGAGAAACAAAAGCACAGAGAGATTAAGAAATATGTGCAAGGTCACACAGCTGATACGGGGCAGAGCCAGGCCCGGGTGCCTGGCTGTAGAGTCTGGGCTTTGCCCCTCCTCCCGCGAGACTCTGCCCATGGATTTCTGGCTGGCCTACCCCAGCCCCCAAAACTGCAGCAGAGATGCCAGGACATGCTTGACACCCCAGCCCCCCAACCCCGTTTAGGCTGCTGCTGGTGCCTCTGCTCTGTGACAATGCAGAGGTAGCTTAGCTCAGTGGTTCCCAGCCATGCCTACAATGGGAGCTTATTTTAAAATGCTCGTGCCTGGCCCTGGCTGGGAGGCTCAGTTGGTTGGAGCATCATCTGGTGCACCAAACGGTTTCAGGTTCGATCCCCAGTCAGGGCACATACATCTCTGTCTCTCTGTCTGTCTCTCTCTCTCTCTCTCTCTCTCTCAGGGCACATACACCTCTCTCTCTGTCTCTCTCTCTCTCTCTAACACAAAATCACGCCTGGCTGGACTCCGGACCATTTAAGTCAGAATCTCTAATTTTGTTTTGAAAGATGACTCTTACGAGCAGCCAGGGTTGAGAACACCTGGACAAGTGTCCCCGGCTCTAGCACTCCAGTGTTCCGTGTGGGGAACCACCCAAAGCTGCAGGTGGGTTGGGCCAGTGACTGGAAAGGCCTCTGAAGTCCCACCTGCAGCCGGGCAGCTCCAATTCCCTGCCT